GACTTTAAGTGTCTATGTTATGGCGAGTTGAATATATTATTTTTATTCTAAGTTGTTCATTTGAGTTAAAGTTTTGAAAAGTTGAGTTTTTTGAATTTTATTCAGTTTTAAGCTTTTGCATGCTTAAGTTAGTCTTTCGCTTGTAGTCAGTCAGGATGAGGGTTCGCTTGGGGACCAGCAATGGTTCTTGAGTGCCGGCCACGTCCAGGGTGTAGACTCGGATCGTGACAGTATGCTCAAAGGTTGAGAACATAACTATTGAGAATGATATATTATGACCCAGTAGCAGAATAAGCCCCCTGTATATATGGAGGCCTTCTGATGCATATATTCTTGGAAAGTCATTGTAAGACTGTAGTTTCTACAATAGTTCAGCTACTCTGTCAATTTTCGAGTTAGTTATAGCTTTTCTAAATATAAAATTCCATCTGTTCAACTCCTTCCATCTGTTCAGTGAGGAATCTCCTTTCGAAGGAGAACAAGCTTCTTCACTTGCACTGCTTGTTTGTATGTGAATAAGATGTACATTTCTAGCTTAAGTAATCATTGGGAACAAAAGAGAAGAATGAGGTAATTACGATAATTGACTCATTAACTCCGTTGTTTTCAAAAGTTAAACTTTGTTAGCATTTGACCATAGATGTTCAAATATTTTTGACAAATTATTACTGGATGAAGTTTTTGGTGAAATCTCATCATGTGTTTAACCATAATTTTTGAAAAAAATATTTGACATTTAAAAAAAAATATAATTCATAAGTTTATAGATTATAAACTCAAACCTACTTATAAAGTAGCATCCATCTTTTAACAATATAATAATATACTTGAGTATACAATAATATATTTGAGTGTCAAATAACAACAAACACATCGTAAATACATAAGTTGAGTGATGTCTTCTCAGTGTGTTTCTCAAGCTAGTTAAAGTTAAGATTACTAAAGAGTATGGTATTTTTTTTCATCAAATATACAAGTTAGAGTAAATTTTGAATTTTTAAAATTTCCAAAAAAATAAAATTTGATCCAATTGTTTTATTTTTTGGGAATTTGATTTTTTAAAATTTAAAAAAACCCGAGGAATTGACACAGACATACAACTATTATATACAATTGGCAACATATAGCCCAATATTAATTAGCAATTAATAATCTAAAAAAAATTAGCACGTATTAACCTAAAAGAAATAAAACCAACTTTTTATAGTTTTTTTCTTTTAATTATGTGCAATCAACCCGCATTAATTAAGGAGATGTGGGATTATTTTTTCTTCCTTGTTTTTAACTCCTATAAAATACTTCGGTTTTCAAGACCGACTCTTTCAACCGCTCAGACATTCATCCCCTTCGCGCTTCGCCCGCCCTATCCATCCGTGCGCTGGCAGGTAAGGGCTTATCTATGTGATTCGCTATGCTTGCATGCGCCTATCGGCTGATTCTATTGCCTGAAGTCAAAGAAGGAGAGGAAAGCACAGACGGGAAAGAAAGGGAAAGCTCCTACTCAAGTCATCGAGTGACATATAAAACAAGGAGACATCTTTATGCATGCGCAAAAGGCGATTAATCGAGATAGTGCAGAGGTGACAAAGCATGCATGAGGTTTCCTTCAATCTGGTGGTCCCAACAAAAAAACATTAGAGCTCGCGGCCTCAGTTGGCAAAATCAGGGTTGTTGCCCCGTTGTGAAGTATCTCTCAAATAGAATATTGATATAGACGGAGTTTTTTCCATTTTTTTTCAGATCGTGTGAAAGTTGATCCAAAAAGCGGAGTTCTCTCTGGTCTTTTACTAATGGGGTTCCGCCCTCTCGGTCAAGTTCATGGCGTTTATCATCAAAAAAGTTCCCACACCCGAATGTGATCGAAGAAAGACTACATCAGCTATTTTTGCGAATTTTATTCATCAGAAAGATGCAATTATAGCATTTAATATGATAAAAAATGTGAAAAAAAGGGGGATCCCTATATATACAGTTCACGATAATTTCATGTTTTGTGTGTTTCGATGATCCCACTAAGGCTTTCCACTCTCCCTGTCGGACCAAACGAATCGGTCTCGGGGGGGAAGGGGGGGAGGGGGGCGCTTGGGTTCCAACCAATTAAGGAAGTTAGTTTTTCAATTTTTTTAAATTCTTAAACTCAACTTTATTTAACTGTCTATTTAAAAAAATATTAACGCAATTTACAAAAACATAAAGATATATTTGATTGTAATTTTATGAATTACTTTATTTTACCAATCAACAATAATTAGTTTATTAAAAAACCGATTGCCTACTTTTAAGAAATGAAATATATATATTTATTAATTAACCCATTAAAAAAGGTTACACCAACTTTTAAGGAATGAATTTTTTAAAATTCTTTAAATAATACTCCCTCTGTCCCATTTTATATGACTCACTTTCCTTTTTAGTTCAGTCCCAAAAAGAATGACACATTTCCATATTAAGTAACAATTTAACTATGAAATGTCTATTTTACCCTTAATGAAATGATTTACAGCCACACAAATTTCTATCATTCATTTTGGACCACAAATTTTAAAAAGTCTTCCTTTCTTTCTTAAACTCCGTGCCGAGTCAAACTACCTCATATAAAATGGGACAGAGGGAGTAACTTATTAACAGATTATGACTACTATTAAGATAAGAAACTGTATTATTAATTCTCTAACGTGTATTAATTATCATATAATCGACAATAATTAATCAAATAATATTAAATGAAATTTTATTAGAAACTGTAATAATACATATGCATAGATTATACAATAATTAAAGTTGTGATTACATAATGTATACATAAAAAAATATGTATACACAAAAACTATTCATAAAAATAGACGTGTAAATTTTATTGATATATACAGTAATTGTTGCATGTATACATAAACTTTATATTGTATACATAATAATATTACCATCAATTATGTGTATTACTATAACGAATACAAGAATAATATTAATATGACACATATATAAATTAAATTTTATTCGTTAATTGTGCATGTGATTTTGTTTATGTATACGCGCGGTAACTACACTATGTATACATTAGTTCGTATTCATCTGTGTATTCAGTGATTTGTATTTACATAATAAATTTGTATACTTTCTTTACCCATGAAATTGAGAACAAAAATTTCAAAAAACTATAACCTGAATTTTCGCCAAAAAAGTTTTAAAAACTTTAGTTCCACAAATCACGAAATTTCAAAATTAATGGGGCAAGAAATGCTACATAATTATATATTAAAAGAAATTATTGGAAGGATCAATCGATAAACTTACAGTTATATCTGATTTGCATAGATAGAGTGAATTAAGGAGATTAAGAGAAAATTTAGAAGAGAAGCAAATATACATATGAAAATGAATTTAGAAAGAAAACAAAAAAAGGTTGAGTAACCTAAATTTTCGCAAAACAAAATTGAAAAAACTTCACTTTCACAAATCATGAAATTCAACAATTAATTGGACAAGAACAAGATTATATATAAAGATGATTTTTAGAAGTATCCATGAAAAAACATATTGTCATATCTGATTTTCATAAACAGATTGAATTAAGGAGAAGAATTGAAAATTAGGGAGAGAATCAAATATACGTATGAAAAGAATTCTAGAAAGAGAAAAAGGAGACAAAAAAGGGAAGAGCTGTATTTTAAAACGTTGACAAAATAAAAAAAGAGATAAAATAGGGATAATAAAACAATAAATTTTTTCTTTTCAAGAAAAAAAAGGCAACAATCAAACGTGTGTTTGAGAAAAATAAGGAGAACAAAAATACATTTTTAAGAAAAAGAAAAATAACTATTCAATGCCAAATAAATAAAACAAAGTCTTTTTCTTGCTAAAAAATTAAAAATGGGCTATTTATCGCTAATTTAGTCTATAGTAGGGGTGTGCATTCGGTTTTTCGGTTTGGTTTTGCACTATTCTGTTTGGATTTTTTTATTTTTGGTTTTGTAAAAGTGTAACCAATTCGATCCAAAATAAATTTGGTTTTCCTCTGTTTGGTTTGATTATTAGGTTATGTCAATAATCAATAACATACCAAAGTAATAATATTTAATCACTTAAATATACTTTCTAATATAAATCATAAGTAAAACTTAAACACAAAACTTATAAGTATACCTATTATAGATGTAATTCAAACATAAAATATAAACGTAATCATCATGAAAGGCAATAACCAAAAAGGGACAAAAGTGGTTAACTCCAACTTAATTCTTTAAACATTATATATATATATATAATATTCGATTTTTTTCAATTTTTATCTTTAAAACCCGAAATCAAACCAAAAAATCAAACAAAGTAATTTATTAATCTAAAACCAATTCGAAAAACTAAAAAATCAATCCAAATAAAAATTCGATTTGATTTGGTTATTCGGTTTAATCCAAATAGTGCACACCCCTAGACTCTATAGGGTATTATGTTGTGCCATTTTGTAAAAAAAAAAAAAAAAAATTATATGGGAAACACTTTTTTCCATGTTTTTTTTCCACGGGTCCTTTATTTAGCATTGGGCTTTCATGGGCCAAACGCCACTATCTAGAGATGAGAAAATTGTATGAAATATCAAACTACTAATTCAAATTAAATGCTATATTCATATTTTATTTTAATTGTAATTCACAGCAAACATTTCCTTTTTTTGCCATTTGATTCGATATACAATTAGCCATTTTATATATTTCGATATAAAATGCATTTGTGTTTGTATAAAGCGACAAAAAAGTGTATATACAAATACATATATTTTCGCCTTATATACTTATAATTATACAAATTACAATATATAAATGAATTTATACAAAACTAAACAATTTGTATAAATTTTGATGTTTGTAGCGAATTATACAAATCAAAAGCTCCATAGCAAATATAAAATTTGCAAAATTTACTATGAAGCGCAATTATGCAAACTATAGCTATAACATATAAATATAATTTTTATGTTTGGTATATGTGAAAGTTGCTCTCTAAGATTGGGGAAATCGCTTGTCTAGGGGTCACCGGTAAAGCAATTTTTCATTGAGCAGTGTGATATTGCGATGGCGGAGGTTCCTCGTCGTGAGGGGAAGCGAAAGCTGGACGGGGATAGTGTAGAAAACCCTTTTCAGTATGTTATTAAAACCTTCATTGGTGAAGATGGAGAAGAATACTACGATTCTGACGATGATGAGATTAGGTATGCAGACGGCGGCAGGGTGAGTGTCCGACTTCAGAAAGAGTATAACAGGCAGATCCGGGAGAGCGAGGTACGTTTACATAAATAATGGTTGTTTCCGGCCAGCGTAACAACGTAGGGTTTCTTTTGATTTGTCCTTTTTTGTTGGTGTGCAATGTAATAGGGTTTTGATATCACTCTGGATTTGGAATTGGGTACTTCTTTTAGTGCTTATTTTAGTACACATCGGGGTAAGGAAAACAAAATCCCAATTTTTCTTGACCTCGCCCAGAAAGCCATTGAACATTTCAATTCAGAGCATGTAAGTGTTTATTACCTGCCACATTCTTTTCTGTTTTTTAGAGAAATAAAAATATTGATATTTGGCTTCCTTGGTTTAGAATACAAATTACAAATTTGTGAAAAACGTAACTGTGAACACGTCAACTGCTGCTGGTATATGGTGTTATATCACCTTTCTAGCCACGGATGCCACTGATACTGATGATCCCAATGCTCCAAAGACCTTTCAGGCTTTGGCATGGTGGGGAGTCGATGAAAAGACAGAAGTGAGGTTTTGCAGGCTTAAGAAACAAGGTAAACCTTCTAATACATTCTTCCTTTGTTACTTACATTATTGCCATGGGATAATCAGTCACCCCTACTATGCATTAAGTTATGGTTAATTTGTTTGTTTTGTTGCCACTCCAACCAATATCATGCTTTGTTTCTGTATTTGTTAAAAATAAAAAATGCTAATCCAATCAATATCATGCTTTGTTTAGTATTGTTAAATGAGAGAATGATAAAGATGCATTTTGAGGTCTTCATTTTATTTAGCAACATGATGTTGGCTAATTTTTGACTTTTAAGAGCATCCTTTGCCTTTATGGTTGAGTTAAGTTTGCAATGTAAAAGGCAAAAGCCATGTATACATGGTGTTTATAATTTGTTTGTTTTGTTGTCACTTCAACCAATGTCATGCTTTGTTTCCGTACTGTTAAAAATAAAAAATGCACCTCAATATAATCTTAAATAGGTGACTGGAACTGTCAAATTGTTGTCTCTATAGAATAGAGATGATGAGAAATCTCTCTGATGCTTTGCATTTGTTTTGGACCAATCTTGGCAGATGATAAAAAACCTCTTGATTCTGATGTTGATGTCAAAGCTATGCAGTGAGCTTGTCATCTCTTTAAGCTACTAGTTCAATGAATGGTTATTTGTGCTTTTAACTAAGATGGGGAAAAAAGTGTTCTGATGTTATGCTTCTATTATATTTGATGTCTATATCTATGTACTAGTTAGTATTAAAACACTTCCAGTACCATATTCTCAGTTTTTATTATCACTTCTGGTACTGGCAGAGGCAATTATCATATCTTATATCTTAGTTATCACTTCCGGTACTGGCAAAGGCATACATGATACAACCAACCTTCGTTTCAATTTTTGTGTCTTGGTTACTACGAGTTGTCAAAAGATATTTTCAAGAATAAAATCTTATTTGTGAGAGGGTATACCATTCATTGAGCAAAAAGTACCGACTATGATTTTGATTTACTCCATAAAATACTAGATCAACACAAGAATTGAGATTTGACGATGGTCGAATTGAACTTTTGAATGCCATATCCTCCCCCTTCTAAAATGAAGAATGTATCAAAAGAGTTATTAAATGTTTCAAAATGCTCTACTGGATATGATCTGTAACTTGAATCACAAGTACCATATGCATTATTCATATTGTAATCTTTTGTCTCCATAGAATTGCAGTATCACAAAGATAAAACCTAGGACTTGTATACAAAAAAAATGATAATGTTAAGTCGTATGAATAATTTATAGATGTGGTAGAACTCTCGAATTGTGACAAACTATATGGACTGTTATCTATAGCGTTAACCATATCTGGATCACTGTACAAATTAATCTATATTTGTGTCGGGTTTTTAAATTTAAAAGCTAAATCAAATTAATTTTGGGTTTTCAACCTTGACTTTTTTTGGATTTCTCGGATGCTCGAATTTTTTCGGTAAAACATTCAATAAGTTGTATAATTAACTTGTGCTTCAAATACTTTTGTAGTCCTACTAAAATACAATTATATAAAGTGTTTTTAAAGAAAATAACACTATTATATGTGTGATCACACTAAAATATTCAATAAAAAATAATAATGAAATTGCATAAAACAAATATTGCAAATAAATAAGTCATAATAAAAATGATCATAATTTTAAAATACAATTAAAATTAAGTTATGTATTTTAATTGTCTAAACCAATGTAAAACTAAATAACAAATATTCAACATTATTGTCATTCTTGGTGTTGAATTAATTTGTTTTTATTGATTTAATTCTAATTTGAGCTTTATTAGAATTACTAATATTATGGACTATAACATTTAATTTATTGGATCATCCAAAATTCTAAGTTAAAATTGAAATAATATGTTAAAAGATAAAAACTATGAAAAAGTATAAGAAAAGTTTATAAACTATATCAAACCAATTCAAGTTTGATCGAAATTTTTTTTCAATACCAAACCAAGTAAAACAAAATAACTATTCAATTTTTTTTCTCAATTTATAATTTAATGCGATTTTCGATTTGATTTTATTCACCCCTACTTGTTACAGACTAACAGAAGATGATGACAATTGGGAAGTAATGTTTCAATGTTTCAGCAGATGGAGAGAGGAGCGTCATGGCTAGAGGTCGAAGAAGCTTCAACCCCAGTGATCTAAGTGAGGCGATTCCTTTGATGTAGCGAACCTATATGTGTGACTAAACTCGCCCATCAGGCCTATACTGATGAAAATAACATTCTTATAAGAGAAAAACCTCCAATACGTTCATGCATTTGCTTGCCTTGCCGTTTTCATATATTTTTCAATGAAAGCCTGAAGCTGAGACCTGAGAGCCTAAGCCTGACCTTCGACGATGCTAAATCTCAGACTGACAACTCGTAAGCTCGCAGGGCTCATATGGTGTGAAGTGTATCTGGGTACAAAATTAGAAATTTCATTCTCTTTTTTACGATCTAAAATCAAAGAAAAGAAAGAAGGGGGGAGATAAACGAGAGCTCAACATTAAGGATTACACTTGGGAAGCAATGTTTCCATGATCTCCAAGCAAAAGCTAGGAAAACTCTTTTAAAATATTATATATTTTGTTTTGTCAGAGCTAATTAATTAATTAAGATCATGTATTGAAGTTTCTTAAAACTACTATATACAATATTCCAAATAAAAATAACAATACAAGCTCACAAATCAATCTCAAACGGGTGATTGATTTCTCATTTTTGTTCAATCTTCCTCTCAAAATCTCTCTCATGTAGTGTGTTCTTTGATAAGGGCCTATGTATATTCCTGTCTTTTCCAATTTTATTCATGTTAAACTGCTTATTAAACTTCACATTACTGTATGAATTAGTTATATTTCCGTCAATTGAGAGCTTTCTCTTTGTCCAAAAATTATCTTCCCAACAAAAATAATCGCATTCACCCTTTGTCTAAAAAAATTAACAAACAAAATTTTAATATTTGAAATTAAAATATGTAATCAACTTTTTTTTTTATTTTGCTTTAACAAAGTAACACAAAACCTTACTTCTAACACTTTACAACCCCAGAACTTACGAGCCTGTGGGTTGTTTGGTAGAGTGTATAAAAATAATGTTCAATAGAGTGTATTAGTAATGCAAGCATTAATAATGCATGTACTAATTATACTTGTATTAGTTATGCATAGATTATTTCTTATGCATTGTTTGGTTTGATGTATTAAAAATAGTATGCATTGTATAAAAATATTTATTTACAAAAGTATCCTTCACAATTATGGTGGAAAAGATGTAAAAGTACTTCTGAGGGTAATTGGGTCTTTAACCATATTAATGATGTATTAAATATTTGCATTACTAATACCTAGAAATCCATGGTATTAGTAATACACTCCTCAATATAGAATAGCAGGGGCGGATGTACATTTTGTCCAGGGGGTTCCTCCTCGGTAAAAAAATTACACTATATATAAGATCATTTTTTTTGTGTACGTGTATATATTTAAAATTGAACTCCCTCAACATATGTCAAAGGATTAGCTTAATAGTTGATGGGGTTCAGGATTTCGCCTATGTGAGCTTTGGGGGGGGGGGGTCACGGGTTTGATTCTAGGCAACAACATCTTTTTTTTTTTTTAAACCACCTTGATAGAATTCCTGCCTCCACCACTGCACAATAGAGTGAGCATTAGTTATACATATCATGAAAAAATCCATCAAACAAGGGATTCCTAATACATATAACTAATGCATGCATTATTTTTGCAAATACACTCTACCAAATGACCCAGAGTTTTTGACGTCCATTTGTCTTGAATACTTGAGTCTGTATTCATGAAAATTTAGTTTCCTTCATAAATAAGAATATCAGTACTTATAAAACTGATATATAAAATAGAATGAAGAACAAGTAAAACATATAGTAATATATAAAACATATTGAATAACAAATAAACATATAATAATGCTGAAGTGAGTTAGATATAAAATATTGATAAGAAGTTAACCAAATCTTAACTTGTGTTCCATTTCATATAGTAGTTTCTCCTTTTCCTTATCAACATAGTCTAAAATTTAATAATTTTCTTGTAACTAAAGGTATTTTAGTCATTTTATAATTTTCTTGTAACTTTGTTAGTCCCACTTCAACTTCAAATTTGCACAAACGGTAAGTTTGAAAAAGTCAAGCTTTTTTTTTGGTTTTGAAAAAGAGCTTTTCCAAAATCTCTTTTACCAAAAGGATCCAAATTAAGTAAAATCTGGGCTTTTTTTGTAAAAGAAAATTAAAGTGTGGGACCAAAGTTGGCCCATTTTGTCCATATAGCCCAAATAGATATGAAAAAAAAATAAAAATCCTTGGCGTGTAGTTATTGTTCAATACAAGAAATGAACCCTTTCATACGAAGTAACCTTACACGCTTTGTTCTAAAAATGGTTAACTATTGACTTCTTAATAATCTTCCTTGCCGTCTCTGCTACCCCAAAGCACCGTATCCTTTCGGTAACTGTTAAAAAAAATTCAGTCTTTTTTCTCCCCTTTATGAATCTTGAAATTCATGAGTTTTTACTGAATGGGTTGATCTAGATTGTGGAATTTTCTGTTGATTTAAGTTAAAGATTGGATTTTTTTCAGTTTCTTGATTTAACCCCCAAATGGTCTGTTGTGAGAGTTCTGTACTGCCAGTTGACCAAGAAATAACAGTGGCTAAATCCCAGCAATTGGGGAAAATCAATCAAATCCAAAAGAAAAAGAACATGCCTAATCCCAAGAATTATTCTGGTTGTCAGCAATCTCGTTATGCTTTGATTGATGTAATGATTTTGATTGCTGTGATTGGTGCTTGTGGGGTTTTGCTGTATCCTTCTGTTAATCTTTTGGTGAATAAAATATCTGAATTTATCAGATTGATCAGTTCTGAGTTGAAAGAAGAGATTTTTGAAGCTCCAGGTTTATACATCTGTTTAGGACTTAGTATTTTATTTGCTGGAATAGCTCTTTGTGCAGTTGCAGTATGTACTGGCAGGAGATGTGGGAAACCAGGTTGTCGTGGGCTTAAGAAAGCTGCTGAATTTGATATTCAATTAGAGACAGAAGATTGTGTTAAGAACTCAAATCATACAGCAGCAAAAGATGGAGTTAATAAGAAGGGATTATTCGAGTTACCTCGCGATCATCATAAAGAATTGGAAGCTGAGCTTAAAAGGATGGCACCTCCTAATGGAAGAGCTGTACTGATATTTCGAGGGAGATGTGGATGCTCTGTAGGTACAATGGAAGTGCCTGGACCCAAAAAGACTCGAAAGGTTAAGAAATAGGAGTAATGTTGTTTATCTGTAAAACATATTTTATACTGAAGCAGGCCTAATGATCAGATATTATAAGAAGATACTATTTCCTACAATAAGCTTATTGAAATAAATCTAATGAATTATATTTGTATATTGGAATCATTTCACTTGCTAGCTTTTAGATTTTAATTATGTCACTACTGTAGTAGTGGTATCTGCTTTATCTGTGTTATTAGTTTAACTGCACTTTATGTCTTCAAGGCTCCAGTATCAATCTTTTCTCAAGCTAATACTGTTTGTTCATTATCCGAATTTTGATTGTTAGACCTTTATGATAAATTTGTGGTAATGATCCTGGCTAAGAAAAAACGCGAGACTTCAAATTGCAGCAACTAGACTTTAAGGTATATGCTTCTTTATTGAAATGTTTCAGTATATTCCTACACTATATTCTTGATCTGATATGCTGGCGAAATAGTCTAGAACTTTTAAGTGTGCCTAGATCCAAGAGTGCTACAATCAACTTCTGCTACGTATGTCGTATGTAATTGCCAATTTTCTTGACAGAGTTGATTAACTTGTGTTTTTCAATGAAAAGAATGTTTTAAACTGCTCAGCATAGTCATCCTAATATTTAAGGTGCTTCAGTCTGGACTTTCCTAGGGATACTTCGACTAGTGTATGGCTGGTGTACTTTGATACTTTACTGTTCAATTATGTGAATACGAGGGCTGGCCTTTGTGCACTCTGTTTGATTCTTTAGCAGTATCTTTTGTGGTAAATTTCTTTGTTGTTTCTCCTTTCCCCTTTTCAGCTTTTGAAAACGGGGGATCATGTTCGAAATTTTACTTAAATATGGTTAGGGAACATAGTTTCTTAAAGGTTACAGTAAGTTTCCTAACAGAATTCATATGGGGTAGCAATTGAGTGACTTCAGCACTTTTTCTGCTAAAGAATTCACTTTATCATCACTGCAATGGACCATTCTGAAGCACATAACTTCTGTAGATGCCAGTACAACTACTTGACTTGATGTTGGTGTTGCTTAATCTGCACTGAAAAGTGTCAGAACTTTGGATGTTGGATGGTCCAACATAATCAACTGTGTGTGAATAATCATACATATCAGCTGATTGATTGTCTCATGAGCATATCTAGGGTGGGTTCTGCAGGTTCAGTTTAACCTGTTACTTTCAGTTCAATTTATGTCTACATATGCAAAAACAATTTAAAAGGCATACACTTATTATCTAGATTCTGGATTTATCTTCACTTGTGAGTACCCTTTGTTGAGTTTTCCATCTTGGCTAGATCAATGAGCTTAATTGTAATTTACTACATACCCCCGGTGTGTTCGGTACGGAGGAATAAGTTTCAAGAAAATATTTTTCATGAAAAACAATTTACACTCACAGTGTTTAATAATCCACAAGATGGTTCTGCTATTTCAGGTTGCAGAAGTTCACACTTATAACTAGAACTAGAAAAACTAGATTACTTGTACTAATAAATTGTACAATCAATTAGCTACATAATTACTTGATTTTCCCGTCTGTCTGCTTCATTATCTAGTTACATTATGGTATAATTTTCTTTATTTTATTTTTCAATTTGTGGGGTTCATGTTTAGATAACATAAAAATAATAATTTAGTTTGCTATGTCTAACAATTTTTTAATGATAACTAAATTTAGTTGATAAAATGTCCAAGTTTATTGATAAAAAACAATGTTTAATAATTTTACCAGATAAATTCTCAAATTTGAGTGACCTTTTGAGATATTAACTCGTTTTTGAAGGTTTGAGTTGAATTTATTATTGGAGTTGATTTGAAACAATTTGGAGCCAAAAAATGAATGTTGAAAATTTTTACATAGCAAATTACATTGATTGTCAGGATTTTTGCCTCAAATCGAATTTCAGCCAAAAAAAAATTTAAAATGGAAAAGGGCAAAATAAATAAACATATAAAAAATAATGTAATATATATATATAACTCTTATTATATT